TTGCCATAGAAAAATGACCAATCGCTTTCTTAAAGGCTTGTCCCCTTGGATTTTCCTGGTTTTGTTGTAATAGAGTTATTTATGTAGAAATACACACACAGCTCACCAGAATCTTTGCGTGTGTGTTTAAGCTGACAAAAGCCTCTTGGAAACCCTTGTGCCTTGAGGTATTTGGAAACGCATGCTGTCCTCCAGCAGGCTGATGCCCTTCCAGAGTAGACCAAGGGTGCCAGCCCAGGTGGAGGCTCCCTAGCTTCTGCAACAGAATGGAGGTTCTTTTGAGCATCAAACATTTTTGCTTCCTGTTGAGGGGGGCAGTCCTATGCATAGGGACACTTAGGGGTTGACCACTACTAACAGCTGATGTTACATTTCTGCCACTGTGGGCCACACTGTGGCTCCTCCCCACCCCCCCACCACGATGCACTTTTCTTGGGCAGAGGACTAGCTTTCCGAGAGAGGCACTGAGAATGGACGCCGGTTGCCTGGATACGGAAAAGAAAGCCAATCTCGGAGACTTATCCGACTAGTGCAGGCCTTTCCAGAAGAATCCAGCAGGCTCTGCACCCAGCCAAGTCTGTGCCAGGCACAACCACCTTTTCCCAAATGTGTGGGAGGTGTGAATCCCAGCCCTCGGCTCAGGCGTGGAAGAAAGATGACCTGTTGTGCCTTCATTTACTTTCTATTTTAAGTCATATTGCACCAGGCTTGTGCAATTCTGGGTTCTGTCTTCCTCCCAAGGTGAGTCTTTGATGGTTTGGGGAGGGCTTACATCTTCCCTGGGTTGTTTGGGGAGGGGGCATGTGAGAAGCAGCCCGTATTGCAGAGATGTCCTCTGCCCAGTCCCAGCTCTGCCCCCCTCACACACACACACACACACACACACACACACACACACACACACACAGGAACATAGGACCAGCTCAGATGCCCTGTGCTGCAATCCCAGTGCCTCTGTGCTCTTGGCTTCCAGGGCCCTCTCTAAGGCATCTTCTGCCCGGCTTCAGGTTGTGGTGCCTAATGGTAAACAAAGGGTCTGTTCCATAAACCAGATGAGTAGAAAAAGGAGTCCTTGCCCTCTCCCAGCGCAGGCTGCCTTTGCTGGTGGCCACAGCAGCAGGCCTCTACAGTCCCCATTCTTGTCCGGCCTCTGACTCTTTCCTTCTCCTGCTCTGGTTCATTGGGTCTCCAGTGCTTTCTCCCAGACAGCATGGAGGTGTCTCTAGGCACCTTTCAGCAGCCGCTTGCACCTAGCACATTGCCTTAGTGCGTTCACACTGCCCCACCTCACTCGCGTGCACAGACCACATACATGCCAGGGCTGCCCCTGCTGGTGTCATCTGTGCCCTCCTGCTCACACCTGTGCTCACTGCTGCTGGGATTACACCGTCCCTGCCCTCTTCCTGGTCCCCTCACTCCAGGGTCTCTTCTGGTTGCTCTCACACAAAGTTGCCAGAGATTTCTGGCAAAACCCTGGAATTAGATCAGCTTCCAGCCCTCCCCTCCCCTCAAGATTTATTTATGATGTATGCAGTGTTCTGTCTGCATGCATGCCTTCAGAACAGAAGAGGGCACCAGATCTCATTACAGATGGTTGTGAGAGGCCATTGAACTCAGTCAGACCTTTGGAAGAGCAGCCAGTGTTCTTAACCACTGAATCATCCTCACCCTCACCCTCAGACCCATCTCTCTTATTGGCTCTTCCCCGCAGAAGGCCATACTGAAGAGGTCTGGCTGATGCATGTTCTCTGTGTCCTTTATTCATGCTGTCTCTGAACCCTGGAATGTTCTCTGTTCCAGTTCCACCCCTATTAGGCCCAGACTAAAGGTCCCTCCCATGATGTCCAACCACCCTCGGGGCTTCTTCTGCTCTGAATACCTTACCATATATAACAAGATCTGATTTTGTTTAGACAATTTTGCTTATCCAAGGCTGATCTTGACCTCAATCCAGTGACTTTTGTGGGTGGTGTTAGGATCTTATTAATAATTCTCTGTGTTTTCATCTGTTTTCGTGACTCTCCCAAGGCATGTGGAGATCCGAGGACAGCTTGTAGCAGGTGACTTTTTTCTTTCTGCATGTTCAACCTGAGACTCTTGAGGAGAAAATACAAACCTACAATTGTCAGAGTAAAGAAAGGTGCATTTGAGGGTACAACAGGACTGGCCAGTCGGGATTTGAGAGAGCAGCCCCTGCCGGCCTCTTGAAGTTCCTTTTATAGGAGGGGTAAAGTGCTCACAGGAGTAAGAGAATCAGCTGTTACACACTGTTAGAAAAACACAAAGAAAGGGAAGGAACAAGGGTGAGGATACACATCCTATGAATGGGCTTACAAATTTAGGATAGATTGAAAAACATGTTTTGCAATTTACACTGTATCTAACCAATAGAAACTTTGTTTTTCAAGGCAGGGTTTCTCTGTCCTGGAACTTGCTTTTGGAGACCAGGCTGGCCTTGAACTCAGAGGTCTACCTGCCTCGAGTGCTGGGATTAAAGGCCTGCACCACCACTACACAGCCAGGAATTTATTAATTACAAATAGAAACCTTAACTTGCAAGGACTTCACGCAGGACGAGCTGGAACTTAACTGTCTTAACTGCAAACAAACTTTTTCGCATTTTTCGGCCTCCACAGTAGAAGGCAAAAGGGACCTTCAGGTGGGTGTTACCTGTACTGTCTGGATGTATCCTGTATAATCCCGTGAGTTTTTATAGGAAGCCACATACTGCTGCTTTGGAGACAAGAGGCCACAGCGAAGAAACACAAGCAACTTCCAGGAAGTAGGTAAGGAGAGGAAATGGCTTTCCCTTGGCACCTTTGGAAAGCACCTACCGAAACCTTGATTTTAGCCCCTAAGAGCCATGTCAGACTGCTGCCCAGCAGAACCCAGTGAATGAGTTTGTGTGTGGAGAGGCATAATGGCATGTTCCTGCCTGTAATCCCAGTGCCTGGGAGGTAAAGGCAGCCGATCAGGAGTTCAAGACCAGCCTGGGCTATATGAGATCCCCAGTCTAAATAGTGCGCAGTTTTAAGCCACTGCGTTTGTAGTGGTTTGTTAGAGCAGCCACAGAAAACTGGACATTCCCATGAACTTAAAAGCCTAAGGGGTAAGAACAAATCCAGTCTCTGGTTTCACAGAATACGTGGTGATGAATCAAGACCTTTTCATTCTAGCTCCTGCCACGAGTTATTTGATTTCAGATGCAAATGAATATTCAAATGAACAAATCCATTTGATTGGTACAGCTCAATCTGCTCTAGCCAGAACAGAGGATGCTGCCAGTGTGTATGGCCTCCTCAGGACCAGATCCATCTCCAGTCCAACAGCCCAGTGTGAACACTGCCCACTAGACTATCCATTTATCTCTGGGGCTGAGTCTTTAGCATCCTAGGCTTGCCTGAGCTTAGGATGCAGCCAAGGATGAAGTTAACTTCGGACCTCCTGCCAATACTTCGAGTGCTAGAATTACAGGTGTGCATCACTAAGCCTGCCTGTATGCTATGCTAGGAACTGAATTTAGGGCTTCATGTTAGGCAAGCATTCTACCAACTAAGCTCTATGTCCCTGGCCCACGGATTTACCCCTGTAGTAGCGCGGTGGGCGAGGCAACAACACTGATGTCCAGAAGAAGGCTCAGTGGTCATGTGAGGGAAGGGAGCAGGGAAGATCCCAGAGAGGAGACAGCTATGGAATTGGGACAGAAGAACATGTCTGAGTTTGCCTAGCTGAAGAAGAGTGTGTGTGCGTGCGCACAATTCCAATCATTTAAGCTTCAGAGCAACACTATGGGAAATAGAGGCAAGCGGTCTGAGGACGTAAGATCAAAACCTGCAGTAGGAAAGGGAGATGTCCAGGAGACCGCAGCCAGGCTGCAGGGCTGGCCTTCACCTTGTGTGGGTCGGAAATCCAGAAGACTACGTCAGGGGGCACAAACCAATGGGCAGCGCTCAGGAGGGCATGTTGGGAAGTTTGGAGACAAGACCAGAGGACTCACTGCCCCCTTCCATGGTCCCGAACTCCAGAAATCAGAGTATGCTGAGGGCTGAGCTGAAAGAAGGGCAGGTAAAGGAGAAACGAGGCCAAAATGAGTGAAAGTTCAAGAAGTTTTACGATACTAAAGAAGTTTCACAATACTAAAGATATGATTGGATCACAGACTTAGGGAGAACTCGCCTTTGAAGAGCCCCCAAAACCACTGACAAAAAAGCAAACTTTTGACAAACTTGAGTTATCCAAACCCGATGAAGCTTCCTGGTCCTTACAACACTCAAATTGCAATACAGAATGAAAGCCTAAAACTCCTTGAAAGATAAGCAAAGGCCTGCAAAGTTGTGGTTCTGTCAGTTTTTCAAATTCACTTCAGAGGAGCAGTTTTCTGCCTGTGGTGAGAAAGGTGGTCTGGGGGCAAAGCCATTATTGTCCAGCAGCCTACACTGCTCTGCCACACACACCTCTGGACCTGTGAGGGAGCAGTACAGAGCCAGGGTGAGCCGGTACATACTCCCCACACCAGATGTCAAAGACAGACTGGCCAATAAGTGCCCCTAGCAGTGTTAGCTCTGTGGATAGGTGACGGGTGGCAGACCCATGGCTAGCCTGGCGGTGGTCACAGAGGCAGGTAGGTCCCAGCGCAGCTGCTGAAGGGTTCGGACGCCTCCCAGCCGTGCCAGGTTGGTGCCGACCAGACAGAATAGAATGCTGAAGGTGAGAAACAAATGTGAGTCCATTTTTTTTTGGTAGAAATTCAGTGTTGATGTCCTGAGAGGTGGGGTAACGAGGTTAAGGGACACCCGGGCAGTCTGAGCAGTGACTAGGCTGCTTCGTGTTGGTCCCCTCCCCACTCCTGACCAATCCAAGTAAGCAAAACTGCCCCTGTGCCCTCAGCACTTGCTCAACTAAATGCTGAGCTGAAATCCTAGGCAGTTTTCAACCTATCAAGGCAGAAAAGAACTTTGCTTTCATAGTGGCTCAGAGACCGTTTCCTCATGACACAGACACATTATAAATACTGTTTATTATGAGTTTCTGTAGTAGTGATACACAAAATAAATTTTATTTAAATATTTAAAGTAATTCTGGAATATATGTAATTTATTGGATTATTGCTAAAATCATGTTCACATTCAAGCCTTTAAGTCTGAAGAACCAGTGTCCAAGCACATGGAAGTACATTGTCTAATGTATTCCACAGGGCTGCACCTCCAGGTCAGACAGTGCCTCTACAGTGGACATAGCACTGTTCCCACGGCCTGCCTCCACTGACTGTGGGCGGTGACAGTCACCACGCCTCCCCTCTTCTCCCCAGTGTTAAGCTACAGAGTAGGTTCTCAGGGAAGCCTTGCTGGTCTAGGGTTTATGGACATGTCTGCCTTTGTCACCTGGAAACCCTAGTGGTCCCACACGCCAGGGTTCTGCTCATCACTGTCGTCTGAGTCAGCAGACACTTTCTTGATTCTTTCCAGGGCCGCCTTGATGCTCCTCTCCAGGTCGCTGGTACTCGTCTTGCTGGGCTTCGCTCCTGCGTCTGGGTGGACTTTCTTTAGCTGCACCCCCTGCCTGATGGCCGCCAGAACTTGTTCATTGACTGAAGTGCGAGGAGGGGGCAAGGAAGGCACTTCGACTTTCCGGAGAGAGGCCTTGCCCTGCCGTATGAAGGCCAACACATCGTACATAGAGTCTGAAATTAAGCAGACAGCAAGTATAGTGAAGAACCAGGTTTCCAGACACACATCAGTTCCTGCCATGATTTAACAAACCTACAGTGCAGCGAGCCACAGACAGTGCGCCGGTCAGCTGTCAGCAGCACCACACTCCCACTGCAATCAGGACGACTTGAGTTTACCACCCCTTCTTCAAATCCACTGTAACTCAGAGCCACAGCCATCCCGAGTTTTGTTGAAATGACTCCAGACACCCTAAGGCCTTAAGGGCCCCTACAGTGGAACAGTCCATTGCTGGGCGAAACCTGGCTTCCTCTCAGTTGTATCTCCTCCATTTCCTTTCCCATCAAACATCCTGAACATGCGCCCTGCATTCCTCTACGAGTCTTGGTGGTGAGTCGGTGATGACTCACCCTGACAACAGGCACTCAGAGTTCCCACACACAAAGGCTTGGTGATATACTTATCAGCTGCTCTGAGCCCCAAAGGGAGGTGCTGGCGCATTTCCTGCACAGCGTGTTTAATTCCACCCACCTTACCTGGGGTGGCTAAGGACTCTTTCTTTCTGAGAGTGTGAAATGCTGTCAAAATACAAATTAGCTCAGAGTTCCGAGACAGTAGTGAGGAGCTGTTTTTACAACTCTGGCACCCTGAGACCCTGAGGGTAAAACCTTTCCTTGCTTGTCAGACACAGGGCATGAACACAGCCACTTAAGACACCTACCAGGTAAGCTTCGGGATTAATGGTCATTTCTGGGTGGGAACTGAAGAGCTGGGCAGTGGCTAACTAGTCTCCTCCATGTCTCCTCCATTCTGGGCTCAAGGCCTCACCTGACTACAACCCCATTTGAGAGCTGCTTAGGCAAGTTCCATAATCAAGGGTCCACACTTCTTACCCTGCAGTGCTATACAGTGTTTGTGAGTTGATCAGAGTTGTGTCCCCCGCCCCCCCAACTGTGCATTCAACCTAAGCTGAGACTACTCCTGCATCCAAACTCGAATCTAGGCAAACAGGAAATCGTTCTTCATTGCATGAGGTTGCAAGCCCTACTGATGGGCCGCCTGCCACCTAAACCTGCGGGCGTTTTCCTTCACAGCCTGTTCTGGGCATGGTGAAGGCCCGAACTTAAAATAAGCAGAGTGCTCACTTAACCAAAACCAGCACTTACGTTCCATGGGCTTCATGCTCATCCCTATCCCAGGAATTGTGTTCTAGGTGGAGCAACATACTCAGCCAGAGCAGAGCATTTTACCAGGGTTTATCTAAGACAACCCTCCTAAGCAGCAGGCTCTGAGTCTTAGCAGGTTGAGGCCAGTTTCCCCAAAAGCCAATGTCTGAAGCCACAATTAGAATTATGCATGAGAACTGTGGCCCTCACTAAAACAAAAACCTGAGTGTATTCAGTATGAAGAGAAAAGGTGGCCCAATTTTCCAGTATTCTCAATTAAATTCAACACTTAGTTCTGTGGATGACTCAGAGATGTAACAAACACCATTTAAAGCTGTATAGATAAACACTGGCTGCACTCAAATCCATGCTGAAGCGGGGGCGGGCTGAAGCAGACTGACTAACAGCTTAGGGGTGTCACACTGTATGAGCAGCAAATGCAGAGATGTGTTTTCAGGCTCGTTAGCATGTCAAATTCAACCTCACCTACACCATCACAATAGGAGTACTACCGTGGCGACAAGTGTGGGATATTTTGAGACAGAATTTTGAAAAAGATTCTAAACTGAAACTAAGACTTCTTCAGCAGCGTAAGAACCCACAGGGAGCACAAGCAGGATCACAGTGAATTACCTGTACGCTGGAAGCTGTCCAGACAATCGCATGGTCTTTCAGCAGCCTCCTCGCACGCTAAAGAGAGTGGCTGACCCTCTGTTGCTGAAGTCCTCAGTCCTAAATTCTGATGAGTTGTGGCTTGAAAAGAGGACAGAGCACGGAGGGGAAGTGGTGGAGGAGGAGGGGGTGGAGGAGGAGGAGGAGGAGGCGGCTGTGGTGGTAGTGACAGATCCTCACTGAATCGGGAGAGTGTCTGGTCCCCAACTGGAACAAAAACCTGAACAGGGATGCCACCACAGGTGTCTTGATGCTCCAGGGTTCTCGTATCAGCTTCAGGTAAGGGAGAAGCAACACTTCCGTTTTTGCTAGAGGAAGGATGATCTGTCTTGTGATGAGCTATTGAGGATCTCTTCCGAGAGCGTCCACCTGACAGGTTTGGCACCCTGGTTTCTGAGCAAGTCGTATTCAGTGCGGAATGAGGAGCTGGACACCTCTGAGGATAAAAAGCTAATGAGAGACTGGCCACAATGTAGGGCATCAAAATGGCGCAACTCCACAAACGGACCTCTAAAGCAACATTGCCCTGTGCATGGGGCATCCTATCACAAGGACCCTGGCCGCCCACAACTCATGCTGCCGAGTCTGTTTTCCCAAGCTCAAGGAGCACTGCCCGCACGGCAGCGGGAGCACCAGTCATGCTGCCTTGAGGTTGGGACCACCCTGGGTCAGAGTGAAGTCCTACCTTTTTCAAAACAAAAAACCCACATTTATACTGTTTGACTAAGTGACCATATAATACTTAATCTCTTAATAGAATGAAGATGAAAAAGATGTATACGGATGAAAGTTTCACCATCTTTTAGAGAGGGAGAGAGGAAAAGGAAAACCTTGGCCTCAGCAAAGCCCTGGGGTTGCAGTGGCCAATGCTTCCTCCACAGCACTAGTTAGACATTCGTTACAAAGAAAAATGAAGCTAGGTATAAGGTACTTGTGACAAACAAGAGAACCTGTGTCCAACCCCCAGAACCCACACAGGAAGCTGGTGTGGCAGTGCCTGTAATCCCTGAGGGGAGGCTGTGCAGTTCCTGGAGCTTGCTGGCCAGCCAGCATGGCCTACTTGGTGAGTGCCAGGCCAAGGAGACACACTGTCTCAAAAACCAAGGTAGAGAGTTGAAGAATGGTCACCTGAGGCGGACCTGTGACCTCCACAGGCATGTGTGTGCCTACACGGACACAATAAAAATAAAGCGAAGAGAAGTCAGCTGAGACTGAAGGCAGTTCAGAGCATTCAGAAGAGAGCAGGGACCCAGATATGTTGTGATGTCAACAACAGCAGCTGTAACCAGGCATAGCACACAGCAGTATAGATAGCAGTTGGGGGCTACTCTGGGAATCATGGTTTGAAAAGCATGACTTACCTATCTGAATGCTTGAGCGAGTGTTTAGGAAGGAGTAGGTGTGTCACTGGAGGTAGGCTTTGAGCTGCCAACCTGCGGCCATGACAATGGCCTAACCCATGAAAGTGTAAGCAAACCCCCAATTAAATGCTTTCTTTCTAAGTGGCCTTAGTAGGGGTTATCTCTTCACAGCAAAAGAATAGTAACTACTAGGGATATCTTAAGAACCTACTTCAATCCAAAGAAAAGCCAGCAGGGGTTCATACTGTGGCCTCCCTAATTTTGGTTCTTTAGTAATAATAGCATTTTTAAAATTCTATGTTATCAGGTTGGAGAGATGGCTCAGAGGTTAAGAGCACTGCTCTCCCAGAAGTCCTGAGTTCAGTTTCTAGCAACCACATGGTGGCTCACAGCCATCTATGAGATCTGATGCACTCTTCTGGCGTGAAGGCATGCATGCAGACAGAACACTATATACATAGTAAATAAATCTTTAAAAAACTTTATCTGTTCATAATACGTTACACTCTTTTCTAGGGTGGGTGAGGCTCATTTATCTCCCCAGATGACACTAAGTGAGTCTTTCTAGAACTTACCTCCCTATATGCTTTTAGTCGCTCAAGCGTCTTCTGGCGTTCATGGCTTATCCACTCTTTTTTCTTTTGCTCCTCTTCTTTTATTTTGTCTCTTTTCTATATGTAAACAAACACATCCTTGTAAAGGTGCAGGGTTCATCATATGTGTATGCACAAGGAAAGGACGCTCACTCATCGGTCCTGGCTGTGTAGTTCCACAGCTAACCCAGTGTCAGGTACTCACCATCTGAACACTGTGGTGCTGGTGAAAACGGCTCACACTTTGTTTAGCCTGCTGCAGTCTGAGTCGATGATTTTCTCGGCAGTGATCCTGGGTTGATAACACAAGTCACAGACATGGTTTTTTAGTAAAACATGGGCTGGAGTAGAGATGGAAGCATTGCATTTTTAACTAACATGTAAGGTGTTCAGTTTCCAAAGAGGGTCAATAGCAGGTCCTCCTCTGCAGTTATGTGACAAAGACTGCCCACAGGTGTCACCTGTTCCCAGCAGAGTGCTTTGAGAGATGAAGTGTCTCGACCATCTGTTTCATTACATTTGTTCGTTTAGGTGGGGGAGGAGGAACCATACATGCCATAGTGCACACAGTCTGTTTGTTTAGGTGGGGGAGGAGGAACCATACATGCCATAGTGCACATACAGTCTGTTTTCTACTGGTCGTCATGCTCAAGAGTGGGCGCCTTCACAGGGCAACCATTTCACAAATCTGTTCTAATGCAACTGTTTAAACCCATTCCCCATGTTATAAATACTAATTATATTCCCAAACACATCTGCAAAATGGTAGCCCACCTAGGAACACTTGAAAATCACATTAAAAATTGCTCTCCTGGGGCTGGAGAGATAGCTCAGTGGTTAAGAGCATTGCCTGCTCTTCCAAAAGTCCTGAGTTCAATTCCCGGCAACCACATGGTGGCTCACAACCATCTGTAATGAGGTCTGGTGCCCTCTTCTGCCCTGTAGGCATACATGTAGACAGAATATTGTATACATAATAAATAAATATTTTTTAAAAAATTGCTCTCTCGTGCTCAGCCACTCCTCATGACCCAAGAGCAGTAACGCTAACATTCACCAAGTGTTTTTCGCCCAACTGCAGTGCCCTTTATCCATATGGTCGCTGTGAAATTTGTACCATCAATGTTATTAGCTTCCTTACACATGAAAATCTTAGCTTAAGAGGAATTGTAGGGGCTGGAAGATGGCTCAGTAGAGAAGAGGGTTTGAGGCTGTTGCGGAAGAACAAGTCAGTTCCCACAAAGGCCTGTAAGTACAGCTCTAGGAATCTGATGCCCTTCTCTGGCCTCCACAGGCATCTGTGTCCACGTGCACATACATGCATGCAGACACACATACACAAACATAAAAACTAAATCTTAAAGAAGTTGGCAATTTGCCCTTGAAAGTGGCCAAGCTGTGATTTTAACCGACAGTGGCATCTGAAATGGGACCTCAGCCTCCACTCTGTTAGCCGAGTGTTTCCAACCCAGTGGAGAGCTGCAGGCTGCAGAGGAAGGGACACCACCTGCAGGCCGATGGCCAAAGCTCCAGTTCACTATAAGACAGTGGTTCTCAACCTGTGGGTTGCAACCCTTTCGGGGTCAAATGACCCTTTCACAGGGGTCACCTAAGATCATCGGAAAACAGATATTTACATTATGATTCATAACAGTAGCAAAATTACAATTACGAAGTAGCAAGAAAAATAATTTTATAGTTGGGGTGACCCCACCATGAGGAACTGTATTAAAGGGTCACAGCATTAGGAAGGTCTAGAAGACACTGTCCTCCTGACAGAGACAAGCATCCATCCATCTGACCACAGTAGCTGAACCACATGGCCCCAGCCTGGGCTTTTTGAAGTGTGGGGCAAAGAGCAATAGCCTGTGAGTTGTCAGACCATCTGAAGAACAGGCCCTAGCCCAGAGACTACAGCTCTGGAGCACAGACCTGCAAAGATTGTTCCAGAAAATGACATTTGCATGGAAGTAACATCCGAGGCTAGAAAGGAAGGCATAGCTGGGCATCTGCCTGTGATTCAAGCCACTGAGCATGCGGAGGTCAGCAGGCAACCTGGCAAGACCTTGCCTCAAACCAGGTTGGGGCTGGGGGATATAGCTCACTGGCAGAGCACTTGCCTAATAAACCATCCCAAATGGAAAAAAATTAATTCAAATAATAAAGCACAATAAATATCAACAATTAACGAAATATAGGAACTTTCTCTTCTATTGGAAAAATTATATTTCTCAGTGTTTTTATGTAATTATATTGTTTTAGAATTAAGGGAACAAATGAGTTTCATTCTGCTTTGTTTTTGCCTATTTTTTTGGCTTTATTAGTCTTTTGCTTGTTTGATTTTCGTTTTTTTGTATTGTTTTGTTCTTTTCTTTAAGAGAAAGAAAGCACATAAAATTGGTTAGGGAGGTGGGGAGGATCTAGGAGGAGCTTGGGGAGGGGAAAATTACAATCAAAATATATTGTATAAAAAACTTTTTTTCAATAAAAAAAAAAAAGAAAACAAGCCAGCCAGTAGTGGTGCACACCTTTAACCCCAGCACTTGGGAGGCAGAAGCAGACATCTGAGTATATGACCAGTCTGGTCTACATAGTGAGTTCCAGGATAGTCAGGGCTCCACAGAGAAACCCGTTTCAAGTAACAAAAAAGCCACACACAAAGAAAAAAATGAAAAAACCCACAAATCTTTGGGTTTTGTTTTTTTTTTTTAAATTTTTGTTTCACGAAACAAAGTTTAAAGTAAGATGAACATTGCATCTGTGACTGGCTTCATTATGATCCATAATTTAGCTTAAAATTTATCCTGTACAGGTGATTATTAGTTTCTCCCTAGTGTAGTAAGTTTATTTTATTTTTGTGGCACCGGGGATTGAACCAAGAACCTTATGCACGCAGTCAAGTTTCTGCTGCTGAACTTATAAGCAGTGGCTGCAGCTATTTCTTCATTGGAGACAAGGGCTCCGTAGTTATACAGACCGGCCTCGAGCTTGCCTCAGCCTCTCGGGTAGCTGGGATTTCAGGCCTGAACCAGCAGTGCCACACCCCGCTCCCTCTGTGTTTTATTTTTATCTATTAATATGCGTGGGCAGAGGTCAGAGGGTAACTTCGGGCGTCGGCGCTTTCCTTCCCCCATGGTTTTGGAGACTGAAGTGAGGTTCTCAGGCTCCTGCCATAAGCGCTCTTCCGTGGCCCACACCCTTATTCTGATTATGAAAGTACTATGCACAGAGTAGGAATTCAATAAATAATTACTGAATGAACTAACTAGAAATCTAGATATAATGGTAAACACTTAAATCTCATTTTTTTTTAGCATTTTTAAATGGGGACCTTGGGGGAGGGTTGAATGGGATGGGAGAGGCAGGGAAGGGAGCATAAAAATGTAGAGCTCAATAAAAATCAACTATATTTTTGGCTCTAGCCATGGAGACAAAAGCACAAAGAACGGTAGTCACGGTACAGGCGAACCTTTCCAGTGCCCTTTACCCTCTGGCTCGCGGGCGGTACCTTTCTGTTCCTGAGGCGGGCCCTCCTGGCAGAGATGCGGCCCCGCTGAGCCTCCAGCCGCTGCCACTGCTGTCTCAGTGCCCTCAGCTCTCCATTCTCACCAGGGTGCAGCTCCGGACTGTGAGCCAGGCTCTTCAGCTCCTCGGGACTTTCACACGGGTCGTAGTAGACCACTTCATCCTGTTTCTCTAAACAGATTAGTGATTCTCTTAGGAATGTCTTTCTATAAGAAAATAATGCAAAAACTGTCTTTAAATGTAAAGAAAGACTAGCTGTATTACATCATGCAGAGGTAAACAGCATTAGAATTACATACACACTTACATAGCTGCACATAGTAACGGTGTTCTACCAGAACATGTTCCATGTGCTAGAAAAAGCATTTTAATGGCCACATAGTATTCACTAGTTCAGACATTCTCAGAATGTCCCAGTGTTCCGTTATTTCCGATTTCATGGTGATAACCATCTCTTCGCACACGTGTGTTTCTTCCTTAGCAAATGAGTGCTCAGGATTCTTCACGCCCCCCTGATGCCCCGGCACAGCACACACTATCTCACCCGTCTTCACTCTCGATTATGTATTGATTTTTAAAAACCATGCTTATAACAATCCTGAACCCTACAGAAACACACAGACTACAAAGTTTTCTATGTCCTCCCCAAAACAGAGTCCCATCCTGAAGGAAAATATCCTTCCAGGTTAACTACTGAAAAAAAGGTTAACTACTGAAAAGTAAAAGTTCCCTAAATGTATAAAATGTTCACAACTGAAAAGAGCTGCAAAGATTTTGGATACCAAGATTAAACCAACCAAATGCTGAGGCCCTGCATGAGGATCATTAAACTTGAAGGGCCCTGGAGAAAGAGACTGAAGATATGGAGGGACCTACCATGATCTTGGGTAGGAGGAATCAAAAGTGCAAGATGACCATTCTCCCCAAGTACTAATTTTAAGCACAATCCCAATTAAAAGTCCAGTGAGTTTTGTTTGTTAAAAGTTGCCAAAGTGATTCTAAACTTCATCTGGAATAAAGCAGTGAGAGCGTCAGAGGATGTGGAGCAGGAGGGTCCCGGGGGCTACAGAGGAGCGTGGAGCCCACACCAGGAGGCCTCAGACCAATCTACTGTGGTCAGGGCCTCCAATTTTTTAAAAATCAATGATCAGGCTGGGCAGAGGTGGCGCACGCCTTTAATCCCAGCAGAGGCAGAGAGACAGAGACAGGCAGATCTCTGTTGAGTTCAAGGTCAGCCTGGTCTACAAGAGCTAGTTCCAGGACAGGCTCCAAAGCTACAGAGAAACCCTGTCTCAAAAAACAAAACAAACACACACACACACAAAAATCAATGATCGGGACCAATCTGGGGAGAAAAGTTTGATATTTACCGTAGTATAACCAACAACTGAATACAATCCTTAGTGTGAAAGGGTTCTAAGACAGAAGATACAGATGGCATGACTTTTCTCAGATGCAGAATCTAGGTACAGCAGTGAAGCAGGGTATGGTGGCGCCACCCATAATCCCAGCATCTGGGAAGAAGACGGAAGATTTAAGGACATCATTGACCACAGAGCAATTCAGAGTCCAGAGTCAATTACATGAACCCTTGTTTCCAAAAACAAAAAGAATCAGTAACGTGTGCGTGCGCGTACACAACAGCAGGAGAATTACTAACTACTGGGAGAGAAAGGGGACACAGGGTAGAAAACGACAACGAAGGGTAATGGGGGGGGGGGAGAAAAGGCTAAACATCTCAAAGAAGAACAGCCATTAAATTATTAAACTGTTTTCACTATCAATTGTAATGAAATAAACAAAGACTGTATGGTGATATCTTCTCTCCCAAGTGTCTGGGGGTGCAAAGAGAACAGCATGGACATGGAAGGCACACCCTCATCTGCTGATGAGGTGACCCTCTGTCCAGCCTCTCTAGGGGCTATTATGAAACTCAGAAGAGAGAAACAATAAAGGGAAGAGGAAGATGTATTTCAGATTCCTAGCCATTTTGGTAGTTACATATTAAAATGTTAGTAAGCATTGCCCTTAACCCAACCATTCTATTTTTAGATATTTATGTCATAAATTGCCAGGAATCTGTGGACAGGACGCGTACAAAAAAGATTTTCTGCTGCACCAATGTTCAAGACAGGGAGAGACCGGAAATCACAGTATGCCTGGAAAACGAAACACTATGCGGCCATTAAAATTCAGAGAGTTCTCAAAATTACTATACTTAAATGAGTCTATTGTATAGTAGGTAAAAATGAGGTAACTTGATAAAGTATATAGTTTTGGTTTTAAAAACTGATAGTCATTTTTATATATGTAGCACATTAAAAACACTAAGTTATTAACACGTTTCTTTCACTAAGATCCCTATTCAACAGCATGAGGTTTTATCTCTTATGTTTGAATATACTGTTGAACAATAAACCTCCTAAAGGGAAAGTAAAAACAGTCAGTAGCTGTAGCGGGTCATTCATAAGATGAAATTGATAATTGGTCTACATGTCCTCGAACATGTGACTCGGCATTTCATTCTGACATACACATGAATGTTACCTTTTATAAGTCTCTTAACAGAGTCCAATCGTGTGACAAGGATCGTCTCCTCACTTCTCAGGATCTCAAGTTTAACCTCATACAATTCCAACTGAATCTCGTAATACTGTATTTCCAGCTCGTCTACAACATCTATGGTCTTTCCCTGGTCTGGAAGTTCCTCCACCTGGTTTGTGTGCAGAGAGGAATAGATGATTAGCATAGTAAGCATCCTGGCCTTGTTCTGCTCTTCCAGGTGCTAACTGTAAGAAAGGAGTCAGGACAAAGCACTCGCATCTCAGGAGACAAACTTGAACTCATTCAGTGTTCTCCACATACACTCCACCTTAAAACAAGGCAACACATTCACGGTCGAGAAACATAACGGCAATGAGACCGTGTCAGGGATGGAAGGTGTCACCCCAAATTTAAATGTTAGCACTCTTAAGCCCAATGTGGCAATACTGAGGGGCCTTTGGAGGTGACCGGTCTGATGAGGTCGAGGGTGGGACCCTGTGGTGGGAAGGCTCTTAGTGGTGCTTCCTCTCCAGGGGCAGGAGAGACTGTGAGCACACAGCAGGGAGTGGCCACAGCCAGGAAGACAGCCCTCGCCAGACGCTGAATCTGAAGGCAGCTCACTCTTCAGTGTCTATCTCCAGAGCTGTGAGGAATAATTAAATATCTTTCTAGTCAGCCCAACTATGGCATCTTCTTACAAGCAGCATGATGTAAGGCAGCTACTGACAAGATTCTGCTCTGAAGTCCCAAGATTATGGAAATTCTTACCTGACTATGAGCCTATGAAGAGCCACTTAGATTAAGACATGGTGGACCCCTTGCTTAGCTATGCTGGGCTGGGGCTCAGTGGTGGGATACATGCTTAGCACCTGCATGCAAGATGTTGGCTCCAAAACACTGTCACACTGTTCACAAGCACAGGCATGCAGATACACACACGTGTGTGTGTACAGGAGTATATTCTGAACATACTGCTGGACTGGTTTTTTAAGTAAATCTCCCACTTCAATCCTAAACTCAGTGTCACAAGCAAATCCTGGACTATATTTCAGAAACATCTTGAGAACACATCCACTGGAAGCCTGTGCTGGAAAACACAAAGGGAGCTCATTACCAATGCCTAGGAGGTAAGGCTGTATTTGTTCTTCTTACCTTCCTCTGGATTTCAGCTCGCCTGTGGCTGAGACACAGCTCTTTGGCTCGCATGAGCTGCAGAGTCTCCCGAGCTAACATGAGCTGGAGATTCTCTAGTCTGGGCATGGCTGTGGCCCAGGCAGCCTGGCCAAACCTCTTCCGATCCTGTTCCATTTGTTTCTGCATTCCTGAGTTTGTAATTAATAAAATAAAACAGAAGTACAACTCATTAATGAATCCTAGCTTGTTTCTTTGTTGCCCCTTCTTCAAACTAAAACATCCTTTCAGCACCGCTTGGTCATCGATAGGAAGTTTAGGTATTCAACTGAAAAGCAGGCCCATAACAGCTCATGGTCCACCTCACCAAGCCACCTGCTTTATAGCTTGGTCCAGACTACTTCTGTGACTGACAGGTGGTGTGGACAGTCTGATCAACATTACGCTTGATCATTACTTTAACATTACTCAGCTTTCAATTGAATTTCAAATCCTCATAAACGGGTGTGCTGGTTAGTTTCTGTCAACTTAATGCAAACTAGAGTCACCTGGGAAGAAGACAATTGAGGAATTACAGACAAGTCTGCAGGGCATTTTCTTAACTGTTGATATATCAACAATCAAGGGCAAGGAGGGCCTAGCCCACTGTGGGTGATACTACCCCGCCCTGTATGTGGTCCCCAGATGTGGAAGAATGCAAACTGTTAACTTCAGCCAGGAAAACAGCCCCCAGCTCCATCAGGTGCTCCTTGAGAACCCATGGCCACTGTGGCCAGGGAAGCAGGTAGGCTAACTGAAGGTCTTCACCTACCCCTCTTTGTAGGCAGAGACTGCTCTTTCGTTTTCAGGCCGCCCAGACCCAAATAATCAAACAGAAACTGTATTAATTACAACACTGTTTGGTCAATAGTTCAGGCAATTTCCTAGCTAGCTTTTATATCTTAACCCATTTCTATTATTCTGTGTATCACCACAAGGCTGTGGCCTACCAATAAAGGTTCTGGGCATCTTTCTCTTTTGGCAGCTATTGGCATCTCTGACTCTGCCTACTTTCTATATCTCTTCCAGCCTGGCTATATTCTGCCCTGACATAGGCTGAAGCAGCTTCTTTATTAACCACTGGCAGTAAAACACATACACAGCATACAGAGGGGAATCCCACATCAACTCTTCTCCAATCCCAGTGCTCCAGTCTCATACCTAGCTCTGCAGACCACCTACTGAAGCCGACCTCCCCCAATCTTCACCCTGTCTCCTGTGGGCCACACAGGTCTTCCCTCCAAACTCCCCCTCTCAGCCCACCCCAAATCACGTCTTTATCCCAGTCCCCAACTATAACAGGCACTCCCCAGGAGCCCACAGGCCTTTCCAGACAGGGAAGCAGGGAGCTAACTGCAGATCTTCACCTCCTCCCCAGCTCCTCTAAGTCCCTTCCCCAGGTTTTATCCCCAACTCTGTAGCAGATCACCTGCTATGGCCTCCCCTCACTCTCCGCCCCCATTCCCAGGGACTAAGCAAATCCTGGTGGAACACCAGACTTTCCTCCCTCGGGGAGCCCCTCTGCAGCCCCCTCCTAGCCCATTCCTATTACTGTCAGCTCCCACTACCTAGAACCACCTGGAACCCCCAGTGGCCACATCTGTCTCGATCCTAGATGAATTGCCTAACAACACACAATCGCCACACTCTCCAAAGAACCAGAGTGGGCAACAGAAACCAAGGAAGGAAACCCTAACCCGACAAAGACCAGGATTAGCTCCTAGAACTACAATCCTCCAAACCCAGATGCCTAGAAGCCAGCATAAAAACACAGTAATAGCCAGGACAACGTCTCCAGTAGAGCCCAGCAACCCTACCACAGCAGCTCCTCAGTATTCAACATAGCCAAAACACAAGGAAAAGACCTGAAAATAACCTTTATGATAGACGTCCTTAAAGAGGAAATGGATAAATTCCTTAAAGAAATCTATGAAAGGGCCCGAGATAGCGAACTGCACAGGAGCAAGAGCAGATCCAGACTAAGGACATTTACAGAAACAAGACTGAGTCAGTGACCTAGGCTGGAGCAGGCCTGACACAGTGAACTCCACAGGAGCAGAGCTGAGCCAGCAAACTCCAAAGGAGCAGGAATGGATCCAGACCAGGGACATTTATGGAAACTGGACTGAGCCAGTGAACTCCACAGGAGCAGAGCAAACCCCAGGAGCACCAAGCAACCTCCAGACACATAGAGTGACCAAAAGGGTGACTGGAACCATGGCACTGACTGCACCACAAGGAGCAACCATTTGAGCCTGGGCTTCACTGGCACCTGGAAGATTGATCACCAGAGTCACAGACAGCCACAACTACACCAAATAGAGGAAAAGATGGGTAGACAAGATAAGAACACATGCAAATCAAAATAACTGAGATTCCATCTTACACCTGTAAGAATGTCACAATCAAAAACACTGATGATAACTTATGCTGGAGAGGTTGTGGGGAAAAGGAAACACTTCTGCATTGTTGGTGGGAATGCAAGCTGGTACAACCCCTTTGGACGTCAGTGTGGCCATTTCTCAGAAAATTAGGAAACAACCTTCCTCAAGACCCAGTAATACCACTTTTGGGTATATATCCAATGTATCCAATATACTCAATCGTGCCACAAGGACATGTGCTCAACTATGTTCATAGCAACTTTGTTTGTCATAGCCAGAACCTGGAAACAACCTAAATGTCCCTCGACTGAAGAATGGATAAGAAAAATGTACATTTACACAATGGAGTACTACACAGCAGAAAAAAATAACCACATCTTGAATTTTGCAGGAAAATGGATGGAGCTAGAAAACATTATTTTGAGTGAGGTAACCCAGACACAGAAAGACAATTATCACATGTACTCGCTCATAGGTGTTTTTAAACATAAAGCAAAGAAAGCCAGCCTACAAACCACAATCCCAGAGAACTTAGACAACAATAAGGACACTTAAGAGAGACTTACATAGATCTAATCTACATGGGAAGTAGAAAAAGACAAGATCTTCTGAGTAAATTGGGAGCATGGGGACCTTGGAGGACGACTGAAAGGGGTAGGGGAGAGGCAAGGAGGGGAGCAGAGAAAAATGTAGAGCTCAATAAATATCAATTAAAAAAAAACACTGCTACAGCTTAGATCACATATTGACCCTCACACACTGATAGTGGGGGACTCAATACTCCAATGTCACCATAGGTCATTCAGAGAAAAACTAAACCGAGAAATGCTAGGTCTACCTGATGCTATAAACCAAATGGACTTAACAGCTATTTCCAGAACATTTCACCCAAATACAAAAGAATATATACACCTTTTTCTCCACAGCTCAAGGAACTGTTTCCAAAACTGACCACGTACTCCAATACAAAGCAAGAAAATTGAAGTAACACACTGTGTGCCGTCAGACCACCATGGATTGAAGTTGGACACCAACAACAACAAAAACAGAATGCTTACAAACTCTCTACTGAATGAAAAATGGGTCAAGACAGAAATTAACAAGTTAAAGACATTCTAGAATTGAATGAAAATGAATACATAACATACCCAAACTTACGGGACATAATGAAGGCAGTTCCAAGAGGCAAGCTCATAGCAGTATATGCCAACAGAAAAAAATCGGAGCAATCTCCCACTAGTGACTTAACAACACATCTGAAAGTTCGAGAACAAAAAGAAGAAATCACATCCAAAAGGAGTAAACAGCAAGAAATAATAAAACTCAGCTGAAATCAGTAAAATAGAAAGAACAATTTTCTTTTCAATTGAAAATCAATTGAAAATTGAAGAATCAATGAAATGAAAAAGTTGATTCTTTTTGAAAAATCAGTAAGATTTATACACCCTTATCCAAATTAATTTAAAAGCATAAAGAAAATACCCAAATTAACAAAAGCAAAAACAAAAGGGGGGCATACAACAGACACAGGAAACCCATACAATAAGAACATACTTTAAAAAACTGTACTCCAAATTTGAAAATCTAAAAGAAATGATTAATCTTCTCAATACATACATACCACTTACCAAAATAAAATGAATTGGACATGTTCCTTCTATTTCTATTTTGTGGAATAATTTGAGGAGAACTGGCATTAACTCTTCTTTGCAAGCCTGGTAGACTTCTGTACTAAAACTATCTGGCCCTGGGATTTTTTTGGTTGGGAGACTTCGTATTTGTCCTGCCCCATCCTGCTGTGGCTTCTAAATAATCATTCAAAGGCTTAATATCGATTACAATCTGCTTGGCCTATAGTTCATGGTTATTACTAACTAGCTCTTACATTTAAATTAACCCATGTATATTAATCTATGTACCTACATGTGGTCATGTCTTTTACTGGTCTGCTGGCATCTTGTTTCTTGGATGGCTGGTCTCTTTCGACTCCGCCCCCCTCTCTCTGTTTTCAGTTTGGCTTTCCTGCCAGCTACATTCTGCCCTGCTATAGGCCAAGGCAGCTTTTATTATCAACCAATGAGAGCAACATATATTCACAGAGCACAGAAGGGTTACCCCATAGCACTGTTTCTACTTTATTAGAGGTTATAAATCAGTTAAGAATGCTTACCTAATCTAGAGTTTACTTTGGTAAGTGGTATGTAAAAGTGGATGACTGTATGCAGAAGAATCCAAATAGATACACACTTATCACTTTGCACAAAACTCAACTTCTGATCAAATGGATCAAAGACATCAACATAAACCAGATACACTAAACGTGATAGACAAGAAAGCAGAGAATAGGCTTAAATGCATTGGCACAGAAAAAGATTTTCTGAACAGAACACAGGCACTAAGGTCAACAATCAATAAATGTGATCTCATGAAACTGAAGGTTTCTGTAGAGCTAAGGACACTGTCATTCAGACAAAGCATCAGTCTATAAAATGGGAAAAGATTTTCACCAACTGCACATCTGATGGAGAACAAATATCCAAACTATATATAAAGAACTCAAAAAAAAATCCAAATATCAAGAAAACAAATAACCCAATTTAAAAAATGGGCACAGATTACAGAGAGAATTCTCAATAGAGAAAATTCAGATGGCTGAGAAACACTTAAAGAAATGTTCGCTATCCTTAGGCTTCAGGGAAATGCAAATCAAAATACTCTGAGATTTCATCTTTATACCTGAGGATACTGGCGAGGATGTACAGTAAGGGAACAGTCATCCATCGCTGATGGGAGTGCAACCTGTACAGAACTATGGAAATCAGTGTGATGGTTCCTCAGGAAGATGGAAATCTGTCTACCTCAAGGTTCAGCCATACCACTTTGGGGCATTATACCCAAAGGAGGTTTCATCCTACCACACAGACACTTGCTCAACCATGTTCATTGCTGCTCTATTCATAATAGCCAGAAACTGGAAATAACTTAGATGTCCTTCAACAAAAGAATGGGTGAAGAGAACATGGTACATGTACACATCAGAATATTTCTCAGCTGTTAAAAAAATGGCATCATGAAATTTGTAGGCTAATGGATAGAACTTGAAAAAATCATCCTGAGTAAGCTCAGATCCAGAAAAAACAAATACGTTATGTATTCACTTATATGTGGACTTTAGCTGTTAAGTCAGTCATAACCAAGCTACAATATGAAGAACCAGAGGTTAGTTATAAAGGAGGGACTAGGGAAACAAATAGATCTCATTAGGAAAAGGAAATAGAATAGTTATGGATGAGACGCTGGAATGGGAGGATCAAGAAGGGACAGAGAAAGATAAGAGGGGAGGAATGGGAGAGAGAGATAAAATTAAGGGCCATCTGAGTGGTAGTGTGGGATCCTAATACAGTAGAAGCCTCCTAAAATATTTACACATATAAAGGTGATCTAAATAAAGTCGCCAAATAATGGGGGGGCAGCTCCAACTGGCCATCTCTAGTTATCAAATAAATCTTCCAATACTGGGATTGGGTTACATCTAATTGAATTTTAGGCCAAAGGGGTCCAGAGGGACTCCTCAAACAACCCAGGATGTTGCAAAGACTATAGATTGCTCTCCACAAACTGATAGTATGGTGGTTAAAATAAAAATGGTCCCCATAGGTCCAAAGTCTGTGGCACTATTAGAAGGTGTGGCCTTGTTGGAGTAGGTGTGACCTTCTTAGAGCAGATGTGGCTTTAAGGTCTCAGATACTCAAGCCTGCCTAGTATGGCATGTCTATTCCTGCTGCCTATAGATCAAGATGTAGAACTCTCAGCTCCTTCTCCAGCACCATGTCTACCTGCATGCTGCTATTGCTTCCCACCATGATGATAATGGAATAAATCTCTGAACTGTAAGCCAGCCCCAATTAAATGTTTTCCTTTATAAGATTTGTCATAGTCATGGTGTCTCTTCACAGCTAACTAAGGCAGATGGCAAGGCCCCCATTACTGAAGACAACACCTGTACGACTCATCGAACATGGAGAAGTCAAATTGGTGCCTACACAGAGCCTTCACCCCTATTTTCTAGTGTCTTAAATACAGGCGGGCACTCTGCATGCTACAATAAGTGCTGCAGAATTATCCTTCTGTACACTGTGAACATCTGTCAGTCCAATTGCTTTCATAAAAAGCTGAATGGCCAATAGCTAGGCAGAATTCTGGGGGCAGAGAGGATGCTGGGAAGAAGGGTAGAGGCAGGGAGTTGCCAGCCAGATGCAGCAGAAGTAGATGAACATGCTGTGCTGAAAAAGAGTACCGCCATGTGGCAGAGGGTAGATAAGAAATGTGGGTTAATTTAAGTGGTAAGAGTTAGTTAGTAACAAGCCTGAAGTATCAGCCAAGCATTTATAATTAATAATAAGTCTCTGTGTGGTTATTTGGGAGCTGGCTGGCAGGACAGAAAGGTCCACCTACATATAAGAAAGACATAAACACCAACCCAGCCAAAAACCTTTGATCTACAATGGTGTCCTGACTGCAAGATATGCTAGAAGGTTAGCTTGTGGGAGCAACCAACCAGTATTTAATTTGACTTAAGGCCCACAATGGAACTCATACCCAACATTGCTTGGGTGACCAAACCTAAGACTAGACAGCCCAAGGTCCTAGGACAAAACCAAACACTACTGTTCTTAAAACCAACAACAAAAAAAGCGGCCAGGCATGGTGGTGCACATCTTTAATCCCAGCACTCAGGAGGCAGAGACAGGTGGACCTGGACTAAGGAAGGAGTTCCAGGACAGCCAGAGCTGCACAGAGAACTGTGACTTGAAAAAAACAAAAAAAGTAATAAAACTACTTCTAAGGACATTCTGCTATACTCATAGATCATTTCCTTGCTCAGCCATCATTAGAGAAGCAGATAGAAAAAATACAGAGACCCAGAGTCAGACAGTACGTACAGAGTAAGAAACTTTGGAATGCTTAGCCCTAAAAGGGATGTTGCCATCAAATCCCTCCCCCTCAGGACTCAGGGAACCCCGTGAAAGAGGAGACAGAGTACAAGTGCCAGAGGGCATGGAGGACACCAGAAGAACAGGCCCTCTAGATAAACATGATCGATGCACACACGAACTCAGAGAGACCGAAGCAGCATGCGCAGGGCCTGCACAGGTCTGCGCCAGGTCCTTTGTGTATACATATGGCTTCCATTTTAGTGTGTCTTTGGAATTCCTGAGTGTGTGAACAAGTGGGTCTCTACTTCTTGTGCCTTCTCTTCTGTTTGTTGTTTTGTTCAATTCTGATGTATGAGTTTTTGTTTTGTCTTATTATATTTTATTTTATTACTAACCCTTAGAAGCCTGTTTGTTTTTTTAATGAGAGACACAAAGGGGGTGGATCCAAACAGGAGGTGAGGAGAAACTGAGAGGAGTAGAGGAAAAGGAAACTAATCAGGATATTGTGTTAGCAGAAAATCTATTTTCAATAAAAGATACAAAAAAAGAAAGGATTCAAGCTAGTGATCTGAGCAAGCAATGAAAAGCCAGTAAGCAGCATTCCTTCCTGGTCTCAGCTTCAGTTCCTGCCTCTCGGTTCTTGCCTTAGCTTCCCTCCGTGAAAAACTTAAGATGAAAGAAACCCTTTCCTCCCCAAGTTGCTTTTGGTTATGGTGTTTATCACAGCAACAGAAAGTAAACTAAGACAACTGGAACTTCTACCATTCATTTTAAAAGATATTAAGGGTCACGATTTTATATATAAAACCATCATAAATGACATATATACATGTATATATGTATATATGTATGCGTATGTATGTATGTATGTATGATGCCTTAACAAGAAGACTGACAGACATGAAGTTTCCTATTTAGGTTTAGTGTGACCCCTGCTTAGCTGGCCAACATTCTCGCTCATAAAAAGCTCCCCGTGCTCTCTGGAAACCAGCCCATGGTCATGCTTTAAGTTCTCCTTCTCCTATTTGCCAAGTTTTCTTAAGCACAGAGCCCTTGTAAATGCCCAACTCCTCTCCACTCCCATGTACTATTCAGGTATGGGGCAAGTGCACCTCTCAGAGGCCTGTCATGAGCACCCCAATCAGACCCAATGCTTTCACAGGATCTCAGAGCCCTGCTTTTCTTCTTCAGTGTTGTTTGCTGCCCCTGCCATTTATCATGTGCTGAATGAACATCACAGACTTCTCTCCGCTCACCAGGCTGGAAAGTGGTCATGCTCATCCTTCCACTGAATTCCCAGTGCCCAGCAAATGTGGTTCCTGATACTGATGATGCCTGCCAATTTTTGCCGAGTAAAATAAACCTCACATATATCTTAGTACAGTAGTTTTAGTATTACCTGTTAATGCTGCTACTGTTTCCTTAAAGTAATTCACAGTGACATCTTGAATAGAAACCACTGCTTCTTCAGTCCGTCTGGTCCATTCATTGGCTTCCTTCTCCAGGGAAAGCACCCTTTTAGGACCCAGGTCATCCTCATTCAGGGACTTCTACAAAACAGTGGTGTACTGCCATTAGGAAATTGGAAGCGGCTGCGTAGGCTACTGCACCCACTCAGCTCACTACTGCTTAGCTGGCTGCTGAGTAGGAGGGCTCGGCGCTGGCTCCACTGAAGACAAAGCTGTCCTCTGGGGACAGAGGGAAAACCCTGACTGTGCGTTACTAGGACTTTTCAGGGTACACAGTGTGCGAATGAGATGTCTGTTGTTTGGTACTCAGAACTCACATTGTTTTTGCTGTAGTTCCTTTTAGGAACCTGAAATACTTAGTACTTAATGCAATACGGTCACCTAAAAGATATTGACATCTATGTATTCAGAGCAGTGCCATTTGCACCTATGGGCTAAATGTTTGTGGGCCCTGAAGTTCATATATTGAAGCCTAAATCCCCAATGTGAAGGTAATAAGCCATGAGGATACAGCTCTCATGATTAGGATTGACGCCCTTATAAAAAGGAAGAGGTAGAATAGCTCTCTGCTCTTTACAAGACAGCCAAACACTAGCAAGCAAGTACCCATCACCAGGTGTGCTAGCACCTGACCTTAGACTTCCCAGCCACCAGAACTGCAAGGACAAAAGTCCTGTTGTTTAGAAGCTGCCTCGTTTGCTGTGCACTGTTCTGACAGCCTGAACTAGGGGCGCCTGTGCATCCAGCATCCAGTTTCCTTCTACAAAGCTTAATTCAGTGACACTGGTATGGGTTAGTGTTACAGAAATGCAAGTCAATGCTACAAGATACCACTCCCACCCACAAGGATAAAAAGACAAATAAAACAAGCGTTGAAGGCAGGCATAGTGACACATTGTAATCCCAGCATTTGGAAGGCTGAGGCAGGATATTGTTATGAATCAAGGCTGATATGGGCTGAACAGCAATATCTGATCTCAAAAAGAAACAAAATATACCAGGTGCCCACACTTAGGTGCACTAAGATGGTGCACTTGATTTGGGAAACAGTCTGGCAGCCTTCAAAAGGTTAAACTTTAAAAAAAAAAACCACAAGATAAACATTATTATGTGACCATTACATCCACTTCCCAGTACACACACAAGAGAAACCAAAGCATGTAAGTCAAGTATGACTTGTGCCTATAATCCCACACTCAAAAGGTTGAGGTAGGAATTCTGCTGTGAATTCAAGATCATCCTAAGCTACACAGTGGGTGTCAGGTCAGCCTGAGCTATAGTTGAGATCCTGACTCAAAAAAGGGGAGGAGGCAGCACAGGCATACACACACACACACACACACACACACACACACACACACACACACACACACGTTGATGGCAGCAATATCATAATATCTAAAAAATGTAAGACAAGGGTGACTGGGTAAGCAAGATGCAGTAAGTTCTTATGACAGTTCTCTGCCAATAAAAAGAAACGAGGTCCTGATGGCTATGTGGACCTCTTAAAATACGCTAAGTGAAAAAGCGTCACAAACCCACATCCATTGTATGGCTCCACAAACTGACTTTTTTTTTTGAGACAAGGTTTCTCTGTGTATCTTTCTTTGGCTGTTTTGGAACTCACTCTGTAGACCAGGTTGGTCTCAAACAAAGCCTGCCCCTGCCTCCTGAGGGCTGGGATTAAAGGTGTGTTACACCACGCCCAACCTTATGTGACATTTCTGTGGACTGGGGAGATAGCTCACAGGGAAAAGTCCTTGCCTTGCCCGAGTTTGGATTCCAGAATCCATCTAAAGCCAGACACAATAGTGTGTTCACAATATAAATGTTATGACAGATTAGGCAGAGGAGACAGGAAGATCTCCAGCAGCTCATGGGTCAACTAGCCTTCACCTCACACACAAACAAGCACATACACACAAAGATAAAAAATAAATAAAAATAACAAAATTATATGTGTGTGTGCGCGCACGCACGTGTGTATTATCTAAACATGAAGAACTCAAGTGAAGATACTGACTGAACCTTTGATGTGACTGGAAGGATCATACATGACAGGTAGACACAAAGTATCAGGGAACATACCAAAATATCAAGCTTACATGAGGTCGCAACTTCCCGCATATCTCTAAATGGCTGCAGTAAATACTGGAAGAACATGGTTGCCATGGTAACTAATTCCTGATATGCTTCATCTTCCTCTTGATAAACTTTCATTAACTCTACCATGGTGTTGGCTTTTCCGTGATCTTGAAGAACCTAAAAGGCAAAAGTGTAAATAACGCTGGGCATTTAAAATCATACCAAAAACAAATAAATAAAAGAAACCCAATAGTCTCAATTTTAAACCATCATTAAGTAAACACGAAAATGTTCTCCAGAAGCCCACAACACAAGCGTGGGTGAGTAAGATGGCTTGTTCATGGAATACTACTGCTACTATGTTCACATTCATTCAACAGTTTTCTTGGGGTTGTTTAATAATATGAGGACTCAGTATAATGGCTCAAGCCTATAATCCCAACACTTGGGAGGCTGAAGCAAGAATTTTACTGAGTTTGAGGCCAGCCTGCCTGGGCTAAATCGCTATTGCCTGAGCTACAAAGCAAGGCCCAGTCTCAAAGAAAACATGCGAGCAAAAAGACTGTATACACTTCTGTGGACTCCAACCCATGTGTAAGATCCAGACGGACAGGTGGTTTATGCCATGAGCAGCTCAATAGTATGAGCTAGGTTAGAACTGTAATAGCTGGGAAGGAACTTGAACTTGGGGGAAATACAACTTTCCAGTACACAAATGTTAAGAGATTAAGTGGATGGGGGGGGGGTTAGAATCTAAGAAATGACGTGCTAAGAATCAATTCTGAGCTGAGTGGAGGAACGGAACTCAGCTACTTGGAATATCAAGCAGTGAGTGGCTGGGGCCTTAATTACAATCACTTTGGGAGCTGAAACTGGTTCATCCTGGAGCTGAAAGCTTCTAAAAAGCATGGGACATCAGAAAAGTAGAATAAGGCCTACGAGGCTGAAGTGTAGGGTAGCAGGAAGGGTGAGCATGAGACTAAGCCTGCCTGAGCTACCCAGAGTTCAAGGCCGCCCTGGGCAACTTAGCTTCTGCCTGAAAATAAAAATGCCAAGGAGGTAGGTCGGTGGCAGAGGGTTTGCCCGAGACCCAATCTCCAGCACTGACTGACATAAAATGATCAGTTAAAGTTCCAAACCTGGCTTGTCTAAAAAAACCTCCTGCAATTTCCTCATATTATAAAGTGAGATCATCACGGGCAGTAGGTGTGTGAGCCACACAGAATACAGTGATCCCAGATGAGCTAGGTGGGGTGGCAAAAGCCTATAATCCCAGTACATCAGAGGCTGAGGCAGTAGGGTCACTGCAGTCTGAGGGCAGCCTGGGCTACATAGTGAGTTCCAAACAGCCTGGACTAATATGTGAGAGCCTGTCACAAAACAAAGACCCCACTAACAGAATCCTTTTATAAAGCCATTTTAGTTTTAAAAGGGTCCTTCTATATTTATCTTAAGATAATATATAACAACCAAGATTTTGCTGTGTGGCTAAATTCTTCTCACACCTCCCATTCCTCAAAACACAGCAAAATCTTTGCTTACTAATGGCTGTCATAATTAGCTTCGGTTCTCAACCTGACATACCTGGGAAAAGGGAACCTCACGCGAACAATTGCCTCCAGCAGAGTGGCTGTGGGGACCTCTGTGGGGCATTTTTACTAATTGCTAAGTTGATAGAAAAGGACCTAGGTCTGGGCGGGTGGTCCTGGACTCAGAAAGGCAGCTGAGCAAGCCCTAGTAAACGAGCCAGGAGTCAGCCTTTCCCTGAGGATGAACTTTAACCTGTATGCCAAATAACCCCTCTCTGCCCCTAGCTGCGTTTGGCCAAGGTGTTTTTCACGGCGGCAGAGAACAAGCCCATAAGGAGAAACGGGAAATGTCCAGGAGTGCCCGTGCACAGAATGAAGCTCTGACTCTGGGCTCTCTTTGGGAAAATATTGCTGGGTAAAACATACACGCTCCTTAAATTTTCAGTGAACTTCCCAATGCCTCCCTTCCTTTAGGGCCTAAGTGTACCACACAAATAATGAATTGGTGTGTCTCAGACTACCTCCTTCTGTGCCAAAAGAGCCTTTCTATTGTTGCCATTCCAAACTGACAAATGAAGTCTCACTTGCAAGGGCTTTCCATTTGATAGTTATAGCTTAATGAGTGACAATAAAACTATCTTTTAAAAGCCATTCATCCTCTAAGACACTTTTTTAGCCATCTCTCACCTTCCCCAGAGACCCTGGAATTGCCATTTGGCTTATGTTTTTATTTCCTACGGGAAAGCGTTGTTTTCGGTTTTGCTTTCAATCTCTGGGTTTCCCCATTACTACATCCTGCTCCGCTAAGATCAGGGAAAAGGTGAAGGGCTGAGCCTGGCTCCGGTCTGCAAGTAAACTTCTTTCTAAGCCAGGAATGGTGGCGCTCGCCAGTAACCCCAGGATCTGAGAGGCTGAGGCAGAGGACTGCCGTGAGTTCAAAGTCAGCCTGGACCACAGAATGAACGAGTCCCTGTTTCAAAATAACAAGAGAGCCGGGCGTGGCGCGGAGTCGCACTCTGATAATCCCAGCACGTGGGAAGAAGAGGTAGAAAGATGAGGAATTCAGGCTACCCAGGGGTACTTAAGATCCCGCCTCAAAAAACAAACACACGAAAACTACTCCGCTGCAAAGTCTCGGGCCTCCCACTCCCAGCCGAGGCACAGGTGCACTAGTGTCACCCGGTTCGCTCCCCGTCCCGGGAACCCGCCCTCCGCCCTCCGCCCAGGGCCAACGCCGCGTACCTGGCGCAGCCGCGCGGCCGC